GCCTTGGAAAAAGTGAGTGGAGAATTGCTATTGTAATGTAACACTTCAAACTACATCTAAATCCGTAGGCTGTATTGATGTTTCTGTTTCTTGGGGCAGTAGTCTTCATGATGTGACTGTATTTGCTTTCCTTCCTCTAATATATAAAAAGCAACACGTATACTGAGGGTGGCAAATTAGAACTGCCTTTAGCCATTCCATTGTCCTCTTTCGGAAAGCTTGGGTTTGGACTTGGTGATGGTTACCTTAGGTTGTAGCTCTCTTGCATTACTTTGAGCAAGAAAATAAGTTTGACTAAGAGAGATCTTCAGTCTCAGTGGTTTGATATGTAGTATGTTATATTTCATGTAAGGTGTACTTTTCCGTGGACTTGTGCTCAATTCTACAAAGGAAAACCTACAAGCTGCTAGATGAGCTCGATGGAGTTGAGCAAATAGTGGGAAAGTCAACCTATCTCTCACTGAGATGCTGATAAGCGTCCTAGAATAACACAGAAACCCCTTAAGCGTTCTTAATGGGTTCACTAAATGGAGGTTTTTGCAATTCTTGATAAAGAATTGATATAGTACTTTATTAATGACCAAAGTTTTGGCCAGGTTCTATATTAGTTTATTAAATTTTCCAGGTTACTGACTTGTTGAACACCTATCAGTTGCTGTGCAAAACTACAGTATAGCAAAGTTGGCATGACTTACCCCTCATACTGACAACAAGTGGTTAAAACGATACCATGTTTATTCTGTAAAATACTCTGAAAATTTTTTTTGAGTGAAAGTGCTGAAAAGTTACAGAAATATTGATGAAATTATTAAATATTTTTGAGAAAGGACTGAGATAACAAGAGATTTTTGCTGCTTTCCAGTAAAATTATATATTTATAATACCTCTGTTCTGGTTGTGTTCTGTTGTCATTCCTTAGAAGTTTTGGGGACCAGCTGGCCCCATTGTCTATCCAGTTTCTGCATAATGATTCAGTATGTGACAAAGTCATCCTTGTTCATCCTGTTCTCCTCTCCTTCCTCCCTTCCCCTAGATTCCTGGAGAAGATCTGAATTATAAGTATAACTTGGTCTTTGTTTGTGAAAATGTTTAAGTATGGATATTTTTCTCCTACATAGTCGAGAGAGGAGAGCAGAAAACAAGCTCTTGCAGCTAAAAGGGAGAAGAGAAAGGAAAAGAGAAAGAAGAAGAAAGAAGAACAAAAAAGAAAACAAGAGGAAGATGAAGAAAACAAGCCTAAAGAAACTCTAGAGCTGCAAGAAGATGATGATGAAGAAGAAAATGACGATGAAGGTAAAGAACATGCACTTTTATGAAAATTGTAGTTGTGGTATTGCTTTTTTTTTTTTTTTCCCCCTCCTTTTCTCCTCTTTTTTGCCCATTTCTGGAATCTGGCTTCTCTGATATTCTGACACTGTTACACAGCTTCTGTTCTGGTTCTTCCCCCTGCAGTCAGAAATTTGGATGGGCGGTTATCAGTGTTCCTGTTACAACTGCTTCGTTCACTTTTCTTCCCCCTGTTCCCAAAGCTAAACTGTCTTGTTCATGGAAGATTTATGGCTGAATCTAGTGCTAATAGTCTGACAGCTGAGCAGGGAGTGTAACTTGAGCTACAGTGTCTTCGGTCCGGGGCACTAATTTCTGTGTGTTGTGATTCTGACTTGATATCCCCTGTTTTTCTTCCAGTGGAGCAAGAAGTTCCTATAGAGCCTCCTAGTGCAACCACTACGACTACAATTGGAATCTCTGCAACATCAACTACTTTCACAAATGCCTTTGGGAAGAAGAGAGCTAACGTGGTGACTACACCTAGCACAAACAGAAAAAATAAGAAAAATAAAACAAAAGAGACTCCTCAGAACATGCAGATAATTTTGCCAGATCAGCATATATCTCTAGCACAGCAAAAAGCAGATAAAAATAAAATAAATGGAGAGCCAAGAGGTGGTGGTGCAGGTGCAGGTGGGAACAGTGATTCAGATAACTTGGATAGTACAGATTGCAATAGTGAAAGTAGCAGTGGAGGTAAAAGCCAAGAGTTGAACTTCACAATGGATACAAATTCCTCTGGTGAGAGGCGCTATGCCTCATTGCTTATCCCCTCTCAGGAAGAAAAAACAAGTGCATCAGCTTCAAAAACCCCAACAAGGTGAGACCTCACTGTTGTTTCCCTGTTTTATAGTGTTTGTCTATGCCACTGTAAATTTTTTTTTTTTTTTAAAGCTTAAGCTTTACATCAGCTAGTGCATTCCCAAAATCTTGAGAGGTTTGCTCTATTCGCATAGCTATTAAATAATACTATTAACTTTATTGAATGAACTTGTTTAAAAATCCAAAGATATAATTTTGGTATTGCTGGCCATTTTTTAATACTACTTTAGCAAAATATTCAATTTTCTATCTCTGCACTGCTTAAGCACCTATAGCTAATTGTTAACTATATTAGAATAGCTTTTAAAGTGAATGCCATAGGAATTTAAAAAGTAAATGTCAACTTTATTTATAATCTATTTACAGAAGTAGTTTGATGAACTTGTGGGTTTTTTTTTTTTAAATGGTTTCGTTATATTGCATTTGAATAGCAATCTCTTTGTTTTAAGGAGGGAAGAGATTGATGACTCCGAGCCTTTCGCCTGTCAGGTTGACGGCCAGTTTGATTTAACCTTGTCCAGCCAGAGGTGAGAGTAAAAAGGACTAAAAGAACTCGATGACTGTACAGTGGCTATATGAAATGAGTTGAAAGATCTTTGAATTGCTAATGAAGGAGCTAATATCTGCTATAACGCTGGATCATTGGTCCGAACCAGAAAGCTTAGATTCTAAACCTGTAGTCCTTAACTAACAAGTTCCAATCTGCTAATTTGTATGTATAAGCAGTATGAATCTGACCACCACCACCCCCATCCCCTTCCCCCCCCCCCCAAAAAAAAAAAATTTAACGTTTAGGAGCGGGGGGTATGTTGATTCACAGAATACCTGACTGACTAAGAATGTTAAGTATGAGATCATATAGGACAGCAAGCAAGGGGGGACTCTCCCAAGAGCCATACTGGTTGGGACAGTTGGGTGGGGAGAGCTGTGTTTTGAGCCCTCCCCCACTTCCCCCTGCTGGAGGATTAAAATCAGAATGAATAGACTTGTCAGCCCTTGTGGTGATGGTAGGGAGTTCTAGATTACCTTTAAGAACGTTAGAAATCGGGTTCTATCCATGTTCTGTTTTACGAACTTCATTTATTTCTGCCTGAATCTCACCCAAGGTCTCCTAGAAAAGCCTTTGGAATTCTGCAAGGCCCTATAGCAGGATTGACTAACTAACTGCATACTTCTACTCTGTATATCGAAGAAAGGAGCAAATGCTTCTGTTAGATAAACATATACGTAAGAAGCAAGACTAGAAATACTGAAATGGGGCTAGTATTAACTTCTGCAGATGCTCTTTGGCTCTTGCACCAAGCAGACTTTTTCTGAAAACTGTTTCCAAATTTGCTCTTGCTGAATTCCTTTTCTCTTTGGACATTGACATGCCAGTGACAAGGTTATTGCAACTGAAATAAAAACTCAGACTTCATAATGATGCTTTTCTAAAAGCTTACCTAGACATTTTCAGATAAAGTAGGAATAAAAAGAAAGCTTTTTAGCTTTTACTCTGTAATTGATATTCCACAATGAACTTTGCTGTTTTCTCTTTCATATACGTTTTCTTGTTCCATTTGCCTCAACCTTATAGTTATCTGAGGACAACTAAAAGATCTGTAAGGAACTTTTAAGTGACCTGGACAGGTGTTTTATCACAGGACTAAAACTTAACTAAAGTGAGGAGAGAAAATGCTGTCATTGTGAAAAGTCTATTTTCAAAATGTTGCTTTTCACATTGTCAGTACATTTGGGTTACTTAAATATGTGTAGATCTCAGGTTTGTATAAAGTGCAGCATACACAAACTGCAAGAAGACAGAATGAACATAAATTTTTGTAAAGAAAGAGGAATAAAATGGATGAATAACGTGTGTAGTGAAGAGGAGGACTGATGCTCAGCATAGTAATATCTAGCTGAAGCATGAGGTCCTTAGTTAAATTTTCCTGCTATATCATAGATTTGCTGAGGCAAGTCACTTTAGGCTAGTCTTCTAAAGACTCTTAAAGCTTTAAAGATTGCTGCTTCTGTTTCAGTGCTGCAGATGAAATTGTGAGCCCCCTGAACTGTGCTGCTTTTTGGGGTTTTTTTTTGGTCCACGCAGATCAGTTAGCCTAATAAGAGATTACCTCTTTTATCTCTCTCTCTCTCTCCTGTCTCGTGCGCTCAAACTTTGCATTTTTTCTATCACTAGACTATTGCTTCAGCTGTATTAGTACATATAGTGATTTTGAGCATCTACTTCCAAATTGACTTAATTGGTAGGTAAATAAATAAAAACCCTATAATCTCTGTGCCTCTGGAAGCGCTTCCCTGTTTTCCAAGCGATGTGTTAGAATAAGAGCTGAAAAATTAACACTTTCAAATATCTAGCAGGAAAGATATCACCACGGTAACATTTTCATAAAAAGTTATTCAAACAGGAGAACACAGTATAGGTGTATAACCAGGGTGTATGGTGGTTATGTACCACCTATTATAAACTAATTTAATCTGTCCCGAATGCTTCATTCGGTTTAGCTCTCTGCTTTTTGGGTACAGGCTGTGGACTAAATGGTAAGAAAGTACCTGTTAAGTCACTCAATGGTTATTCCATTTGGAAAATAAGAATGAAAACAGTTAGTGCTAGTAGTTCTAAGTTCCAGAATATGTATACTGTAATGCTGTCGGCTTTATTCTGTAATTTGTAATCAGTACATTTCTGTTCCCAGACTCGAAGGTGAAGGTAATTCAAATTCTTTGTCAACTACTTATAAACCTGTTTCCCTGCCTCTGACCTCTCCAAATGTAAAGCTGAATCTGACTAGTCCAAAAAGAGGCCAGAAAAGAGAAGAAGGCTGGAAAGAAGTGGTTAGAAGGTAAAGACTAATTCTGTGTTTGAAAACTATGTATGAACTATTTTTAGCTTATAAACTATGCTCCAACATAGAATATCCAACAAGATTATTTAATTAATTACATTTATAAAAGCCCTTGCCCTCATGCTCGCAGTGCTGTGGAAAAAAATTACAGTCCTAATTTGCAGTAGCTCTGTATTAAGTTAAGATAAATAGGACATGAACATTTTATTTGGCACTAAAGTTCTTGTTTGTTTGTTTATTTTTTTTAACCTCTGACTTCAGGTGTTATTAAAGTAGAGGACAGGTAGATGATCGTTGTAATGCTAAACCTCATTGTGCTTTGCTGACCCTGACTGCTGATTTCACTTAAAATTTTGTGACCTTAGTGGTTGACAGAGGTGCAGTTAGACTTAAGATTATCCACAAAGCATGCTTTTCTTTTGAAAATGTACTGATTTTTATTATATGGCCATTAACTACTCTATCTTTTTTGTAACCTTTATTGTATTTACTGCTTGTAACTAGAAACGGTCATCTAGCTTTCCTTTTTCCTTCTCCTTATCAAAAAGGAATGCAGCATGAACACACAAGCATCAGATGCTTTGGGTGCACTTACCCTGCCCTGCTGCTTTTTTGCTGCAGTTATAGTGACGAGAAATACCCATTTTAGAGAATTCCAGGGTGCGTGCAAAGAATGTAATTTTACAGAGGACTGTAAAAGGCAGTTTAGTCTGAAAACTTAAGCCTTTGAACTCTTAGAGAGTTGGTTCAGTCTTCCACCGTTGGTTGCATTCTCAATCAGTGTTCTCTACTGTGACGTGTCCTCGCTAAACGTATGGTCGCAGACTGCTCACCACTTGGTGAGTCATGCAGGCATGAAACCGTTAAATAGGCAGCTGACTTTTCCAGGGCTGCACACAGACCCCGCCATCGACCCTGCAGCTCCTGCATCTCTCTTCCTGGGTCTCTTAAGTCTCATAGTAGCTTTGTTGAGTATTGTCTGCTGTTCTGTTGGAGGCACTAGGGTTCTAGAAATGGCATCCAAAACCTGGACTTTCCTAATCCCTGAGGAATCGGGCCTTGGGTCATGACAAATATGTTCATAAAGTGTTCTGTACTAGTGTTTTCTCTGTCCTGACCGATTGGCAAAGCATGTGTCCAGCCAAAGAGCTCTTTGGCGACTTCAGATGTGTTTGCATAATGCCCAGGACATGCATGTCTTCATCTCCTAAAGTCTCTCCTGGTCTGAAATGAGACCAGGAGAGTCCAGACTCATTCTTCTCCTCCCCTCTCCCTGTGAGTATCCCACTGGCTAGAAGGGATGTCTATCAAAGAAGTAACCAATGAAAACATCCCTTCTACCCTTGACAGGCAAGTAGGCAGAGTTTTGAAAGACCCTCCCCCTAGCAACACTCTGCAGCCAACACCAATTGAGCAATTTCAGCTGCAGAGAGGAGGGCGCTGCTGTTCAGGAGCAAAAAGGTATGGTATTGGGCACTTTTCAAGGTAAAAACCATTGAGTTTGGTGGGTAGGGAGGGAAAAAGTAGTGGGTGATGGGTGGGCCGGGGCCCTGTTTTTTTTGCAGGAGTGTCTCCGGGGTGGTGGTATGGGGTTCCTAGTGGAATGAGGTGGAAGGAGACCAAAGTACAGTTAGAAGCCCTGCGAGCAATGTGGAAATGTCTTGAAAGTTAGGTGAGGATGGGAGCCCCAATTTGGGGAGGGAGTGATTGGGATGTTTACCTCGAGAGAGGAGCCCTTGGAGTGGAGGTGGGGAGAAGGTCCTGCGTGTCTCCTGGTGGAGGGAGGAAGACCTTAGAAAGACAAGGTCATGCTTTAGAATGTTTCCACGTATTAGATATGCTTAAAATAAAATGTATTTCCTTTAAATCCCATCAACTGAGAAACAATTGGTCAAGCTGGTCAAGTTATTTAAGTTTCAAAGACTGGAATAGCTAGGTGAAGCTGGCAGCCTTTTCAGGGGGTGGTGGTGATCTGTGCAGTGTTCAGAGATATTTGAACTGTGATCACAGTGGTTTCTGAAACCCTTTTGAATCCCCTCTAATTGTTCAGTGTTCAATTGCTGCACATCACTAGCAAGCTTGAAAGCAGTGTATGGGCTTGAGAAGTCCAGCCTTTAAAGTCTGGGGACAATGGTGGCCCAGAGAGACCTTGGCTGGGGTCTGGATGCGAGCATAGTTTGTGTTCAAAGACTTCCCAGTACTGTATGCCTGCACTGACCCACCAATATTAGAAAAATCCTAAATTGATCTATTTTACTGAACCCACAGGTTACAGGGTTGTGGCCTGAAAATGAGCCTGCTTCTGAAAATCTGTGCTGCCTTCATAGTGGCTTCCAGCATCTCATTAAATTACAGAACCGCACAGTTTAAGTCTGACATCCACTGTTGTGTAGTGTCACCTGTAAACTTTCAGATGGGGTATAGTTTCTCACTTGGGATCTGAGAGAGGTGGATACTAAAAGAACTGTGCATGCAAATGGTATTACAGAGCTGATCGCTGGGAAAGTATTGGAAAACCACATTCTCCTTACTATAACCAGTAGAAATAGTTAAGCCATGGGCTTTTATATTTGAAGCAGTGCTATTTATGTAAATTTAGGTCAATAAACTAAGGTTTTGTCTCACTTTAAAGGTACACAAGGTAAAATCCAGAAGTGTTTCTGAAGCAGTGTATGAGGTGCATACATCTGTGACGTAACAGTGGTAGAATCAATGCTCTGAAGAATTCCTATTGAGTACTGAGGATGATGAGTAATTTGAGTGGGAGAGTTTGAGAGGGGGTCCAAAGGGTGAAAAAAGCTATCAGCAGAAAACCACTTGCTGCCCTGAAGCTTAAGAATATTGGTTCAGCTGCTTGTCAGACAAGGGATTTTTTTATGGCTCTGAAGTTTAAACAAGCTTCACAAATGTGTGATTTTTGTGATATAGGTCAAAGAAATTATCTGTCCCAGCTTCTGTCGTGTCTAGAATAATGGGAAGAGGTGGATGCAACATCACAGCAATCCAAGATGTCACTGGTGCCCATATTGATGTAGATAAACAAAAAGATAAGAATGGAGAGAGAATGATCACAATAAGGTACAGTATCTGGAAAAGAAACTCTGAGTTAGTTCAGAATGTAATTTACTAGGACGTTTATTTGCTTTTTAAGACAGGACATATTTAGCTTCTTGATTCTAGAATACAGCATTTATTATTGCTGCCAAGAAATATTTAAGACCTGCTTATTCAAAGATAATCCTTCAGATAAGCAAAAGTGAAGAAATAGCTTACTTGAGTAAGCATGCGATATACTCGCATATCGGGTTATAAAATGAGGCTGCAGAATGTACAGAGTTCCTTATATAAATGATAAATATGTTGTATTTAATCCAGGGGTGGTACAGAGTCAACTCGGTATGCAGTGCAACTCATCAATGCACTTATTCAAGATCCTGCCAAGGAACTGGAAGACTTGATTCCTAAAACTCACATAAGAACACCTGCTTCGACTACCAAATCAATCCATGCAAACTTTTCATCTGGAGTCAGCACTGCATCTGCTTCAAACAAAAACTCCTTTCCTCTTGGAGCACCACCTCTGGTCACATCACAGTCATCAACACTATCTACTTTCCAGCCTACTAACAAATTAAATAAGAATGTCCCAGCAAATGTGCGCTCATCTTTTCCAGTGTCTCTTCCTCTAGCTTATTCTCACCCTCATTTTGCCTTGCTGGCTGCCCAAACTATGCAACAGATTCGGCACCCTCGCTTACCTATGGCCCAGTTTGGAGGGACTTTTTCGCCTTCACCGAACACTTGGGGACCATTCCCAGTGAGACCTGTTAACCCTGGCAGCACAAACAGCTCTCCAAAGCATAATGGTTCGAGTCGCGTAGGTAGTCAGAATGGAAATATTTTACAGACAGAGTCTCCTGGATTAGCTACTTCTAGTTGTCCCATTACTGTCTCTTCTGTAGTTGCTTCCACCCAACCGCTATGTGTAACAAGTAATCGGACTCCCTCCTCGGTCAGAAAGCAATTGTTTGCCTGCATTCCCAAGACAAGTACTGCAGCAACGGCGATCTCAACTGTGACAAGCACCTGTAGCACTCTGCCCTCTGCTTCCTCTGCACCTCCAAACAATGGGCAAGTTCCCACAGCCTTTCTGCCCTCCAGTGCTCCACAGACGCAACATTCTGCACTTAAAACGGACTCTTTCTCAGCTGTCTCAGCGCCCAAAGAGAAGGTGTCAGCACCAGACCAGCCAGTTGGAAACGTGTGCGCCCCATCTTCGGTTGCAAGTAGTTGCAATATGTCAACTAGCAGCAGTTCAGGAGTTGCAGAAACTTGCCCATCTAGCAGCCCTGCACCGCTGAATAATGTCCAAGATGAAGTACTGCCAACCAGCATGTCAGAGATCAATCCTTCTATGTCAATGCCTTTTTCATCCAGCTCAGAACCCGCTTCTTTAAGCTTAGCATCACCCAGGTCAGTTGTTGCAGATAATCAGGACAACAATAACTTACCTCAAGTAGCTGTACCAGCACCTCGAGTTACTCACAGGATGCAGTCCAGAGGTTCTTTCTATTCAGTGGTACCAAATGCAAACCTGCATCAAGATCCTCAGTCTATTTTTGTTACGAATCAAGTTCCTTTAACGCCTTCTCAAGGTCCACCTGCTGCAGTGCAGCTTTCGTCAGCCATGAACGTTATGAACGGTTCTCAGATGCACATTAATCCAGGAAACAAATCATTGCCTCCTACCTTTGGGCCAGCAACTCTCTTCAATCACTTTAGTAGTCTTTTTGATAGCAACCAGGTGCCAGCTAACCAAGGATGGGGAGACTGTCCACTCTCCACTCGAGCAGCAGCTGACCCGTCTTTCACTGTTCAGTCTACCTTTCTGAATAACTCTGTGCTAGGACATGTGGAAAATGTGCATCCTGATAACTCCAAGGCTCCTGGTTTCAGGCCACCTTCCCAACGGGTTTCTACTAGTCCTGTAGGTAAGTCACTAAGATCATGCGCTGAACAGAATTCTGTCTCCATCCATTACACTTTGATCACTTGGAGTTGCTTGAGAAATAATTCATAAATGTTACTTAGAGGACGCTAGTATAATGAGGTCGACCTGTTTTAATCCAAGTGCTCTTTAAAATGACGACACCCCCACCCCCCTCCAGCTCTTCTAGGATGTTAAATATTGGGAGTGTTGCAGAAGTAGCACTGAGCACTGTTGATCTTCTGTAAGAGGAAGGAATTCTTCTGCCTGTTTGTAGGATTCAGAGTAGCACTGATTTCGCTTTTGGGTTTGAATGGTATGTCATGATACTGAACCCAAAGCAGCAGGGGCAGGACTCTTGATGAGCCCCAGCTCCAGGAGTGAATGCATGCACTGGTTTGCAGTCCCACAGTATGGGGCACCACCTTGGCTCTGAGGGCATAAACTCCCTGTATTCTTTGTCTCTTGATGTGGCCCTGATCCGGTAGGCTAAAGGATGATTTCACTTTGTTTTGCTAGAATTCTAATGAACTTATAGTGTGCTTTGAGAAGTTGGTGTACTGTTGTATGGTGTACTACTGGGAAGTTACTGTCCTTCAGTTGTTAAGATACAGTTATTCAAATTGACTTGCTTTTAATTTAAGTGGATTAGGAACACTCACAGTGAGTTCCCTTCCCTGCTGCGCTCTGCCTTAAGGACTGTTATCTTCTTAGCGCTCAGACTGTGTTGCAGGTGTCTGGCTGCACCCATTTGGCTGGAAGGGACCCTCAAGAGATCTAGTACGTTCCATCCCCTTTTCTCCTTCCTTCTTGCCATAATACATTTATGGTGCCTTAAAGTTGGGTAGCTAAGGAGCCTTGCTTTGAAGTTGTACCCCC